TAAAAACACCTCAAAGAAATAACAGGGGATTATAAATAAGTCATGGATCTTCAAGGAGCCTTAAGAGATGATCTTCTAAAGTCCATTTTACATGTGAACCTTAGATTAAGTAATTTGCCTATGATCACACATCCAATAAGTGACCAAAGAGAAATAAAACTAGATTTGCCACCTTCATAGTATGGGCTTTTTTCTCTTTTAAAATTTTTTTCAATTAAAAACATTTTATCTCCTTTCTCTCCCACCTGCCTCCCCACAGTGAAAATAAAAACAAAATCTTTATAACCATATGAATACTAAAACCAAACAAATTCCCACATTTGACCAGGTTCAAAAATGTGTTTCATTCCGCATCTTGAGTCCATCGCTTCTCTATCAGGAGGTGAAACAGCATTCTTCATTGTCAGTCCTCTGGAATTATGGTTGCTCATTTTGATCAGTATTCTTGAATCCTTCAAAGCTCTTCAGTTATTTTGTGTTTGTTTTCTGTTAGGATACCTCAGCAAAACAAAAATTTAAAGAACAGACTCATTCTTTCTTATAAAGTGTTCAGCCACTGAAAATGGCCCCAGAAATTGAACGGCTTCCTCATTGATTATGGAATGACTGAACAAGTTGTGGTATATTATTGTGATAAAATATTATTATGTTATAAGAAATGATGAGCAGGGTTGTTTAAGAAAAACCTGGAAGATTTATATGAAATGATGCAAAGTGAAGTAAGCAGAATCATGAAAACATTGTACACAGTAACAGCAATATTGTAGGACAATCAATTTTGAATGACTTAGTTTTTCTCAGCAATACAATGATAAAAAAAAAACAATTCCAAATGACTCATGATGAAAAATTCTATCTATATCCAGAGAAAGAACTAAGGGAATCTGAATGCAAATCAAAGCATCCTTTCTTTTTTTTACTTTCTTGATTTTTCTTGTATTTATTTATTTTTTGGTCTGTAGTCTCTTTTGCAACATTGCCAATATGAAAATGTTTTGCATTACTGTACACATATAATGTATATCAAAGTGTTTGCCTTCTTAAGGAGCAGGGAGTGCAGGCAAGGAGGAAATTTGGAACTCAAAAATTATTTTTAAAAATGTTAAAAATTGTTTTTAATTGTAATTGAAAAAATAAAATAAAAACATTGTTTTTAAAATCACATATATGAAAAAAAAAAAGAAAAATGTCCTTAGAAGTCTATACATAGTGTGATATGGAGAAAAGATAGAGCTTACAAGGAAAAGTTAGCTGGGGAAAAAGAGGCTGTACATCAGAGGTCAACATAGCTAATAGTCTGAATGCTGTAACTTGCTTTCCTGTGTACTTCAGTCTAAAAATGGAATAGTCCTATGTGCCCCTTTCTCTAGTACATCCTTCATGATTCAGTATTATGTATATACAATATTGAGTTTCTATGTAAAAATAATGATATTTTTTTTCCCGGTTCAGATGTAATCCAGAATTGTCATACCAAGAGGTTTTACTGAGTATATTTACTGAATACTGTCTGTGTGTAATGATAGAGTGCCACCACTCACCCACCTCCAATTTACCCTTCACTCAGCTGTCAAAAACATCTTCTCAAAATGCAGATACGACCACATCACCCCCTACACACACACACACACACACACACACACACACACACCCCTCCAGTGGTTCCCTGTCACCTCCAGGATCAAACAAATAATTCTCTGACATTCAAAGCCCTGCATAATCTGCTCTGTCACCACCTTTCCAGTCTTCTTGCACCTTACACCCCTTGCCTCCCTTTTCCCTACCACCCCATGTACATTGAGATTCAGTGACACTGGCTTCCTTGCTGTTCTTCAAACAAAACTCTCCACCTCCCAACTCTGGATATTTTCATTGGCTGTCCACCATATTTGGAATGCTTTCCTTCCTCATTTCCGCCTCCTGGCTTCCCCGGTTTCCCTGGCTTCCTTCTGTCGGTAGCCTTTCCTGATCCCCCAGAGATCTAGTGCCTTTCTTCTTTTAATGGCTTTTACTTTATCTTGTATATAGCTTATTTATACATAATTGTTTGCATGTTGCCTTGTCCATTATATGGCCAGCTCCTTGAAAGCAGGGACTGTCTTTTCATTTTCTTTGTATCCTCAGCACTTATCATAGTGCGTGGCACACATATGCCAGTAATGCTTGCATTAAAAATAGGAAACAACAGTAATAATAAAAAAGTAGCCAGGAAATTTGGGTTCTAGTCCTTGTTCTACTACTGATCTATATAGGGGAATTGCCCTGGGTAAAGAAACTTTCCTTCTCAAGGCTTCATTTTCCTCAGCTGCACAATGCAGGTGTTGAAGATCCTTAATAAAAGCTTTATTGACTGACTTGACTTGGAGTCCAAAAGACCTGGGTTCAAATCCTGCCTCTGGCATTAACTATATAACCATAGGTCAGTCATTTTACCTCTCTGAGGCTTGGGTTCCTCATTTGTAATTGGGGTTAATAATACCTATATCACCTATTTGACAGGGCCATTGTGAGGCTCAAATGAAATAACATGTGTGAAGTTAGCATTGGTAACATTAATAAACATAGTACATTGTTGGGATAGGGATCTTCCTTTTATATGACACCAGCTTGCAAACTGTTGCCAGTCCTTTATTTGACCCAACTGGCATCCCTGAGATGACCAGTTTGTTTCTGAGGAATGCCATTCTCTCCGTCCATTTCAGCTCCTCTGCCAGAGCAACATGCTTATTTTTTTTTCAGCATAATTTTCCATGATGTTCATACAAAATGGATTGGTTACATAATTATGACAGTGCTTATTCTTACAGTACTTTAAGATTTTCAAAATGAACAACCCAATGAGATAGGTAATGTTGAGTAGCATTATGTTCCCCATTTTTCAGATGTGGAAAGTGAGGCTCAGATTGTTCATACAGCTAGCAAATGTTTCATTTGCACTTGGCATTCTCACTCCCAGTCTAGAGGTTTTCCCACTATACCACAACATCTATTAAGTTCTGCATTCACAGAGTCTAGGAATGCTAATGATAAAATGACTTTGGAAATTACTACTCCAATACCTCCATTTTGCAGCTCAGAAAACTAAGCCTTGAAAAGGCAAGTGACTTTCCCAGGTTATTGCCCTTCTATGGATTAGCGATAGAACCAAGACCAGAATCTGTTGGCTGCTATTATTGTTGTTGCTACTTTATATTTTTTAGTGCAAGCACATTTGGTGTAAACTTACAGCAGTACTGGCTTTATTGGCAAAGACATTAGGAGAAATTTTCTGGTGACATGTTAATTGTGTAATAAAAATGTCATCGCAATGGTCACCAAGGCATGCAAGAAACATTCAGCTAGAGTGAGCAAAACTATATCCACACTAATAGCTGTATTTTATTTGAAGGGCTTCCATTTATCTGTTTGCTCTTGATTGCTCTATATAATCATTTGATTTTTATATTTAGAAAAGATTTTCTTTATTTTTAAAAAGTCTTTACAGAACAAGGTAGCAATGGGTTCTACTACTTTATTAGTTTTATCAAATATTAGTCTTCACCAAAGTCCACGTCAGGTGCCTCATTATGAGATTTAATGTTCATATGAAGATGATACAGTAAGCTCGAGCAGGACTTCCAGGCTGGGGAGGTTCCGATGATGATCCTGGTGATTCACTGGGAGCCTGTCACTTAATTACCAACCTAGCCAGCCAGGCAATTATCATTGGAAAGAGCCTGGCTCTTGCTGTCAGAGGACCTTGTTTAGATCTTGCCTTTGACACTTATAGCCTGTATCACCTTGGGCAAGTTACTTTACCTCCTAGGGCCCCAGTTTCCTTATATGTGAAACCAAGGGGTTGAACTAGATGGCCTTGGAGGTGTCTTCCATCTCTGGATCTATGATCTTAAGTAGAAAGATGCTCAGAAGAGAGAGTACACATTGATGAATTTGGACCTGCAGCTCCCTAGGAGCTTTAATTGGTGGATAAAGAGCCTACACAACATGAAATCACCTATCTTTCACATATCAAGTGGGAGGATGTCTGGCTGGTCTTCCAGGTAGAATTTCTTAGTCTAGAATCCTGAATTAATGTTAACTTAAAATGGCTATTTTCAAAACAATTCTTAAGTTTACCTTTACAGTGCTATGTTATCAATCCACTTATCAACCTGAACTTAAGATATCATTGTTCTATGTAGGCACAATATATGGTCTTGCTATACCAACCCAAGTAGCCTGGATTATTAAATCATCCATGAACCTATCACTTACTTTGCCAGCTGCCCATACATCTGTAGGGATATAATTCTATCATCAGGGGCATTTTTCCATTATTATATAGTTGGAGTAACTTAGGTAGAATTCAATATATTCTGATCTCCCCAACTTTATTATTGGGATATATGATGGATATTTTCCCTGCTATAATCTTTACTGAAAGGTCCTAAAATGGAATTATTGGTCCAAGTACACAAATGTTTTCTTTCCTACTAGAAAATGTTTCATTGTAGGAGAATAGACCAAGTGACCAATGCCCTGAAGTAAATCAGTCAAAGAGCAGCCACATCTCTCAGCATTCTTTCCATTAAACAAAACCTGCCTGTTATGTCACTAAGAGCCCTCAATGTCCAGAACCTTGTTATGCATTCTCATTGATTCTTGCAAGTCATTTAACTCTTTGACCTCCATTCCTATGGCTTAAGTTAAGATGGTACTTTGTCCTCTGCCCATCTCGTCCTGGCTATACAAATGAACAAAATAATTCCTTAGTTGTTAGTACTTGTGAATTTCTCTGTAATATGTCAATTAATAAATCATCTGTCATCTGTCACCTCATCATGTTTCATATAATTTAATTTTTCAAGTATTTGCCATCCCACTTAAATTACACACTTCTTTAGGATGTGACTCCTACTTCTCTGTAACCTTTCAACTCCTAGCACATCTCACTCATAGGAGGTGCTCAATATATAGATATTTATTTCCTAATTTCTTTTGCTGGTGCTTATTTTTTCCAGATGGACCCCCATGAAAACATCTTATTAAGCACCCTCGAGATAAAAAATGAAATGGCCACCTCTGAGGCAGTAATGGGACTGGGAGACCCAAGAAGCACCATGTTGGCTTATGACGCTTCGAGCATCCAATACCGGAAAGCTGGCTTGCCCAGACACAGCTTTGGCCGCAATGCCCTGGAGCGACATGTGGCACAAAAGAAGAGCCGACTACGGAGGCGTGCCTCCCAGCTGAAAATCACTATCCCTGACTTGACTGATGTAAATGCCATAGATCGATGGTCCCGTATATTCTTTCCTGTTGTTTTTTCCTTCTTCAATATTGTCTATTGGCTTTATTATGTGAACTAAAAAGTAGCGTCTCATGGGAACAAAAGACTGGATTTCTCTTCAAACTGGTTGTACAGCCAAAAGTGGGACTTGGAAAAAATCTTTTCAGGAAAAAATGATTTTAAAACACCTTAGTTGCTGGCCTATTCTATGATTCATTTCATACTATTTGGATTGCTTCTGCTAAACACTTCTTTATGCTACAATCTATGTATTTTTTTCCCAGTTAAAATAGAAGTGTATTTGGTGAGTGATGGCCAAATTCAGTTCTGACATGCCATTTCCATTTTATATGCTTAGGACTCACTCAGCCTATACAAGTGGGAAAGTATTGGAGAAATAGTCTTAACGAGGTGTAGTAGCAATGTGAATCATTTCCTTGTGTAATGGGCATGTCTAGCTGTTCCACAGCTTGATTTCTAAAGGAAAGAAATATTTCAAATTGATATTATACTTAGAGATCGTTCACAGTTCACAGAGAATACTTTCAACACAAGTTGAAAGTAGTACTGAAGATCATAAAGTGATGTTAGAGTGGTGGTGATGATGATGATGATGATGATGATGATGATGGTGATGATGATGATGATGGTGATAACGTTGACAGGTCACTATTTCCCACCACCTTGCAAAGTTTTTGGTTAGTTCACTAATAAAGAATTGGCATTTGACACGCAGTGCCACCCTTGCAAGTAATAAGTCAGGGAAACCAAGGTTGCCTTCTCTAGCTCCATTAAATGTTGGCAAAGTACTACAGTTAGAACACCCTGTGCTAAGAAAAAGGAGACTGGTGGTGGTAGCTGCTGTGGTTTTAAGTGTGATCTTTGTGGGGGGGGGGGTGGAGCTGAAGAGGTTGGGCATTTCACAGGAAAACTATTTCACAGTTGGCTACAGCAATTGTTTATATCCTGCCTTTTATGTAAAAGGAGGGGATGAGTCTTCAGAGAATAGCAGAAAAATTAAAGAAAGGTTTTTAAAGGTATAAAAGATTTTTAAAAAAATATATATATTCACCATCAGGGTACATATGAACAAAGTGTAGTGGCCAATGATGAACTGGACAGGATTTGTATCCAACTTCATAAGCTTAGGGGCATTGTATCTATTGATACTTTGATGTGCGATCTATTCAGAAGACAGAAAAGAACGGGTAAGATTATGGGAATCACTAGTACCTGAGATGTTTGACAAAGAATTTGGCGTGAACCTTGCTTATATCATGGTGTGCAGTTGACAAACAGGGTGTATTTCACCCCCAACCCCAGCCCATGCTCATTACTTCTGTGGAATTTACCACAATGTGTTTCCAGAATTGAATGGGATACTCTTAAATGAAGGCACTGTTCATTGTTTTAGAAGGGTGAAGTGTCCTGTCATGTCTTTGTTGCCTCTGAAATCTGATCGCTGCTTCTTTTGAAAAATTAAAGCTTTATATTAGTAAATAAGTATTGGAGGATTCGGTAAATTGATCTCCTCTTACATAAGATGAAGTTCACTTTCACATTTTCCACAGAAGTAGTAAAAGCATTAGATGTAGTTTTTGATTGTTTTTAAGAAAGAATACTCTCTTTTTGCATATGGAAATCTGTTCATTTAAGGAAAAATGGAGACTGGAAAAAAGATAACAGCAGAATTTCCTTGGCATGCTCAGTTGTAAGAGTCTCTCTTTAGAAAGTAAACCACATTGCATTGCACTGACTGTACCTCTAAATGAAGTCATTGTATTTGAAACATCATTTGGAAATGGAAGAACTGCTATCTGGGTCATCTTATAGGAAACAAATTGATTTTACAGAGCTTTGTTGACTGAATGACTTCAGAAGCTTGGTTTTTCCTCTTTTTTTTCCTAAGGGAGTGCTACTTTTTTTTTTTATGAAGCAGTATTGTGTTTAAAAATACAGTCAGAATTTGACATGAAAGGCTTTATGGCCAGGGTTCACCAATAGATTGCATGAGTTAGCTCCTATTTGTCCTTTTATTCATGGCTGATTTCTAACATTAGCTGGAAATGGTGCTTTATCACATAGACATCTTGTTCTGAATTTGAGACACTGGATTGTCTCTGGTAGCAGAAGATGGCATACTATTATACGTGCCTTCTGAGTGTATGGCTACAGACAGGCCAGAGTTTGAGACATTCCTTTGCCAATGCCATTCTTGTATTTGTTGAGTCCCACTCTGGTGACAAATCTGTGGAAGAAATGGTCAGGTTCCTATGCATGGGTTCATAATAGTGAGCATACTCAAGATAACCCCAAGGTTTCTTTTCCCCAAAAATGATTTGTTCTTAGTCATCACCTAAATAGCTTTTCCTGCTTCTGCTATCAATTGAATACGTAACGGAGAGAGTATTTCAATACCTCAAATACGCAAATGAAAGAAACAAATAGGCTGAATTCTGATAGGATGGTTCTTGAGAAAAGCCAAAGTCTGAGTCTGTAAGTAGGGCTGCTACCTGCCATTACCATAAAAGCCATAATAATCCTCAATATTGCCATGTTATGGGTGCAATAAAATGCAGAGTGTGGAAGGAACTGAGCAGACAGACCTAGAACAAAGCAAACAAAAACAAGCTACTCTCTGCCAATTGGACCTTCATACAAAGTTATTTTCTAAAGGAAACAGAAATAGGAGATTCCATTTATGCTCATAGTTGTGTTGGGATGAAGACATTAGGAAAAGAAGTAATCAGGAGACCTTATAATGGAAAATATAGAGTTGCCCATGAGAGTGAATCATATGTTGGCTTCCAGCTACCATTCTCTTGGATCACATCAGAGCAACTAACTCTTGTCCTCAGTTGTTTGATTGGGATTTTATTCTCTGATCTGGCTAAGCAGAGAGTACCTGGGAGTGATTTAATGCTGCATTTGAAGAAAAGAATCAGAATGAGTCTGGATATTCTGCTTTCTTATGATTAAGCATGAGGACTTGTAAAAAATAATCTGTGCAAAGACAATGTTGATATTATATGATTATTAGTAAACATATTTCCTTTTGCATATACAACAGCCAGCAATTAAGGTGTTTTTCATCTTTATGAAATTCATGGGCAAATTCTGACTCTAAAATGGCAAAGTTTTAACAAAATCTTGAATCTCAATCTGTAAATATCTCTTGTACATGACTGCTAGCAAATGTGAAATGCATTTTCAGAATTGAAAACCAGTGCAACATATTTCTGTGTTTGCATAAGGAATGTTACTTTTCTTTCTTCTTCACTCTAATAACTGGGAGGAAAAAAAACTCCATTGTCATTTAAGTGTTCTCTATTCTCTTATTCTTCTAAAACTCAATCTAAAATGAAAAGTAGCTGAAAGATCTCTCTGAGGGATTTTACATTCTAGTTTAAAAGCTTAAGGAACACACCCACATGTGTACACACATACAACACACACGCAAACACATACACATACAAACTGTCAGCTAAAAAAAGCACAATGCCTAGGGAAGTGAAGGTGGATTTGTAACTGGGAAATGAACCAATTAATTTTAGGCTAGATCCATATTTTAATGAAAAATCCAACAATATTCATTTTGAGTAAGTAATTGAGTTTCCAGTCCTTAAATTAACACAGAACTCAACAGAAAAGGAAACCAAACTTACAACATGTCCATGTGTGTATATATATATGTATATATATATGTATATATAGGTCAGTATAAACATACATATATATGCATTTATATGTTGGACAGCAAAAGGAATAAGCTAATATGTTTTGTTTCTATCACTTAAACAAATATAAGAATATTTTTTACTTTGGGAAAAAATTAATATATTAAAATAAATAACTGTACAGGGTAACTGGGCATTTCTATATCAACCAATCAATGCATACAATTCTTACAAAACATTGCACAATTTGACTCTATAATAGTACCGTACCTCAACATCTGAAATTAGATTACATTAAATTCTACTGCTTGCCTTTTCTCTGTCTCCATCTCTGTCTCTGTCTCTCTCTGTCTCTCTCTCTGTCTCTCTGTTTCTCTCTCTCTGATTTTCTCTCTCCCTCCCTCTCTTAAAAAAAATTTGTCCACTAGCAGTTTGAAAAATTAAACAAATATGCCCTAGGGAAACCAAGGGGAAAGTTATGCTACCAAATCTTTCTAGGAAAACAAACTGATGTGTTGGCCAGGGTAAACTATTCTTAAAAATAGTGAGCATAACCATTTTGCTATGTGTATATAGAACATGGAATGTGTGCAATTATAAGTCCAGCTGAACATTTGTAAATATCATCAGATTTCTTAAACATTTTTAACTTCTAATTTGTACTTTATGGTAAGGCAAAAATGCTGATTCTCTCCCATGGTTTAGGTGAACTGTGTCCTAAAACCCTGTAAATAATGAAGCTGTAAATGAGCGGTCAGTAGATTCAGTAATTGTTTAGTGATTTTCTTTTGTCATTTTATTAAGTATTATTATTGCATTGCCCAAACAGAGTAATTTAAACACCCTTTTTCATAGACAGTTCAGGATTACAGATAATAGAATCTCAACTTATTTTTGAATTTTTTTAAGGTCAGTGGGAATTGGTCTAGTGTTAGAAGTGATGTAACAATAGAATGAGTACAGCTGTGACAGGAAGCAGTAAAAATCAAAATTAGCAAAAGGTCTGTTTTTGTTTTTTGGTTTTTGTTTTTTGTTTTTCCCAGCAGAGGTCAAAGAATAGATAAGGCTGTAGCTAAGCACTGAGTTTTGAAAGAAAGTGAAAGTCATATTGCTCTCACTACAGAGAACAGTGCTTGTTCCAGAAATCTATGATAAAAGTAAGTTCTGATAGATTTTTTTTAAGAAGACTGTCCTATAGATCCTCAAAACCAAAGACTCCAGAATTGTGGGAAATAAAGGGAAAGCTAACCAGTCACTGCTTAACACCAAAGGCAAAGCTTTTTTGAAATGCACTAGGAACTTTGTTTAAAATGATAAAGAATCAATGGCATAGTAATTCAAAATTTGTCCTTTTATACTTTATTGAAAAACAAAATATTGAAAAAAGAGAACAGCAACATTCTGAAGTATTTATCAGCTATGTGGAGATTTAAACAGAACATCTCTCCAGATATATGCAACATTATGATAACAGGCATCTTTTTTTTTCTGAAGTACTTTAAGGAATGAAGGGGGGAAAATGAACCGATGGAAAACACTGTCTTGATTTCACTTTTTAGTCATTCTCCTTGTCATATTTACCTTGTCAAATTCACTCCCAGTCTCTCTGTGTCACCAATGTTTGGAGGGCAGTTGACCTACCCCATATGTCTGTATCTCTCCTGAGTTCCAGATGCTCCTGTTTTTCTTTAATCAGTTCTGTATTTTGAGTTTACATTTGAGTTTACCTTTAATAAGATGAGATAAATTTTAACAAAATTGCCTATGATTTAAATTTCTTATTTTTTTTCCTTTCCATGGGTGTTTAAATGGTTCTGTTACTGATGTCTCTGCATAATCCTGATGTCTTTTTTTTTTACTTGGTACTCTGCTTCACAATGTAGTCATGATCAGCCTTACTAATTACCTTGTAGCCTTTCTTATATGCACATAATGCACATTTTCCAACAGCTAGAAAACGCAAAATACTAGCAGGTATCATTGCATCAGATTTTCATGTTTTTCTCAAAAGAACTGCTAACCTCTGGGATAAGTGAGGTCATAAAACAAAATGATGGTTGTAAAGGAGTAGAACATAAAAGATATTTTCTTGAATTTAAACTTATCGCAGCCAGTCTTAGCATGTAAATATATAATAATGTTGGCTAGTGTGTAATTCTTGAACTAAAAATACAAATAAAGAAACCTTAAAAGGATTTACATAGTATTTCATTGTGTTGTGAGATTGTGGAATGGTGATATCTGAAGTATTGTTTGGTTGGGGATGGGGGAAAAGAGAAGGGGGGGAAGGTGTAATCAGCATCTATCAGTTGAACTAAAGTAGTACAAATCCACAGAATGTCAGAATTGGAAGGAAGCTGGAAACCCTACCCTTACACCCATTTTATAGATGGAGAGACTGAGACCCAGTCTGGGAAATAATCTATTTGCCCAAGGTAACACAGTGAATTAGTTACAATGCCATGATTTAAGCCTATATTTCTTGATTATCAGTACAATTTTCTTATCACTATGGTAATATATATTGAAACATCCCACTAACTTTTTTGAGTATTTTATTTTTCTCAATTACATATTAAAAACAATTTTAACATTCATTTTTTAAAATTTTGAGTTCCAAATTCTCTCCCTCACTCTCTCCCCCACCCCTTCCTGAGATGGTAAACAATTTGATGTAGGTTATATATGTACAATCATGCAAAACATATTTCCATATTAGTCACACACAGACAAAAAAAACCCACAAAAAAAATAAAGTAAAAAATGGCATGCTTTGGACTGCATTCAGACTCTATGAGTTCTTTCTCTGGAAGTGGACAGCATTTTTCATTGTGGGTCCTTTGGAATTATCTTGGATCATCATCTTGATTAGAGTAGCTAAGTCATTCACAATTGATCATCCTACAATATTGCTATTACTATGTATAATGTTCTCCTGATTCTGCTCACTTCATTTGGCATCAGTTCATCTAAATCTTTCCAGGATTTCTCAAATTATCCTGCTCATCATTTCTTATAGCACAATAGTATCGCATTACAATCATATACCACAACTTCTTAAGCCATTGCCTGGTTGATAAACATCCCCTCAATTTCAATTCTTTGCCACCACAAAAAGAGCTGCTATAAATATTTTTTGTACAAATAGACCCTTTTCGCTTTTTTTTTAAATCTCTTTGGGATCCAGACCTAGTAGTGGCATTGCTGGATCAAAAAGCATGGACGATTTTATAGCCCTTTGGGAATAGTTCCAAATTGCTCTCCAGAGCCCACTAACTTTCAAAAGTATCATTAAACTGAATCTTTTATATTTCAGTTTGAGAGAAAAGAATAATAAGATTCTCTAAATGAGAGTTTTGCTTAATTCCTCTTTCTATTGGAGAATTACCATGATTTTCAAAAAAGCATTTAGTAAGAACTTGTAAGTAAACTTTCAAATAAGCAAAATGTAGCATAGTATCGAGTATTATACAAAGTAAACTGAGAAAACATGATAGTAGCACTCTGGAAATGAATAGGTGAAGGTAGACAAAAATGAAACAGATACAGACAAGGAAGCAAGAACGTACTATAGTAATAGATATGTGGTTAATACTACTAGAATTGTGAAGCATAGACTGTGAGAGCTGGAAGGGACTTTAGAGTGTTGAATGTTGGAGCTGAAAGGGATTTAGAATGTAGAATAAGATTAATCAAATATAATTATAGTTCTTTAAGATTTACCAAGAATATTCTTCATAACAACCCCATTTTTTTTTCCATTTCATGAGTGAAGAAACTGACGTTCAGAAAGGTTCAATGTCTTCCATTGTCTGTCCACTAATGCTGTAGACAATATAGCCAGGATTCAAATCCAGGTCTTTGGTAACAGATCAGTGATCTTTCCATGCTACTTAAACTGCTAAGGAATTTCTGAGGCCCCTTCCAGCTCTGTCCTATGACTTTTACCTCAGGATATAGAATGTCAGAGCTAGTAGTCCTTCCAAAATAGATAGTTAAACCTAGAAGTGACCCAGAAACATAGAATGATAGGTCCAGAGGAGGCCAGTCTCCTCTGAATATAGAAGAATATAGAATTTTAGCAGAATCCAGAACTCTGCTAAAGGGACCTAAGAAAAAAAAATATTAGAGCTAAAATGACAAAGAAGCTACAGGATTCAAAATCATATGACCTCTTCAAGTATGTAGTTTCCATACCTATAAAATGAGGGAATTGGACTATATGACCTTTGAGGGTCCTCTTGCTTTAACAGCTTTATGCGATCGTTTGTCCCAATCCTCTTATTTTGTGGATTAGTAAAACTCCAGTCCTTAATTAGCAAACACTGGCCAAACAAGAAGACTTCTCCACCTCTCATTTAGTAAGGGAAGGCTTCATGGAGGAGTGGGATTTTAGAAGCTACTTGAGAAAAGTTCACATTACTCCAGCGTAGGCCACATCTGGCATTACAAAGAGATAAAGTTTTGCCTTTAGCTGATCTAATACACCTCGCTAAAGTGAAGACAGATATTTTAGAACCATGCAAACTAATCAAGTAAGCATACTCACGTATCCTAGAAAAGTATATAAAGAATGAGCGTCCATTAGCACCGCTTCTAGGAAGCCATCTCTATCCACACAACTCTAGCCATGTGGCTGGCCCTAGGCTATACAGGTTAGTGTGAGGTTGACAAAAGTAGCTTGATTTCTTCATAAATGTACCAGTCACAGGTATATTTGAATGTATTAGCCATGAGTAGGTCAGCCAAAGCTAAATCCAGAGATTGGCAGTCAGGAATCTGTCTGGCTTTGGAGGCAGAATTCATCTGTGTATGTTTGTATACAAATATATTCATTTATTGCTCCAACCCTCTCAATCTACATGTCCTTCTTCCTTCATTGAATTATAGAGCCTGGTCTAATGAGCTTTCATTAATTCTCCTTCATGAATTTTTTTTTAAGTCTCTGCCAAATCCAACATTCCATACCTCCATTACCTAGAATGCACTTGACCTTTATCTAAACTGCTCAGAATCCTGATCATCTTTCATTATGGCACTCAGATGCCATCTTCAAAGTCTTCCTTAGTTCCAAAAGTTATTACTTCCCTCTCCTAAAATTAACTTGGATTTATTGATCTGTGTACATATTGTATCCTTGTACTAGAATGTAAGCTTCTTGTAATCAGTTATCAGGGATTGATTGTTTGGGAGGGCCTTCCTAGCCCTAATGCCTAGGCCCTAGCACAGGGGCTGGGGACCTGCAGCCTCAAGGCCACATGTGGCCTTCTAGGCCCTTGGGTATGGCCTTTTGGCCAGTCCAAGTTTTACAGAACAAATCCTTTTATTATAGGGATTTGTTCTGTGAAGTTTGGATCCAGTCAAAGGTGTACTTGAGGACCTAGAGGGCCACATGTGGCCTTGAGGCCAGAGGTTCCCCATCTCTGCCCTAGCTCAATGCCTTATACCAAAGGCACTTAATACTCATTGAGATATATTGAATTGTATCTCCAAAACTTTTCTAATGTCCACAAAGAATAAAATGTTTTGTTTTGTTTTGTTTTGTTTTTCCCCAAGAACAGAGTAATCCATTGAGGCTTAGTAAATTCCTTATAAATTCTTACTATGATTGTTTTTTCTTTGAGCAATTTAAACAAGATAAGCATTGGCCTTTATTTGAAAGGTTTCTGGAACCTGAAATACATTTACATTTATGCCCAGTTGGTAATACATGGAAGACCCTCTCCAGAGACTTACCAACTGGGCACAAATGTAAATGTATTACTCTGTTCTTGGGGAAAAACAAAATATTTTATTCTTCGTGGACATTAGAAAAGTTTTGGAGATACAATTCAATATATCTCAACGAATGTTAAGTGCCAGCGGATTAACATTGTCATCTTAGATCCCCAGATGGAAGGTGTCTCTCCCATAATGATCCTAGGGGTGACCCTGCAGGGTTCAGGTTTCTATCCATCTTGCTTATGAAATGGACAGCTATATAGTAAACACTATATAAATGTTATCTTTATTAATTCATTTGTCTATATATCTATCAATTTATTTATTTTTTATGAGCCATAATTATTATCATTTGTGTAATTTCCATTGATTACAACAATAGCTTCAGTTAGCTTTTAGAAGTGTGCTTACTTACTAAAATGGTATAATAAGATTACAAACCATTTATCCCAAAAATCTGAGATATGCTCTCCCGCAAGTATACCCAGAGTCCTGGTGAAGAATGTATTTAAACTTAGGGCAGGTAGGTGGCAGTGGATAGAGCACCAGCCCTGGAGTCAGGCAGACTTGCGTTCAAATCCAGACTCAGACGTACGACACCTACTAACTGTGTGACTCTGGGCAAGCCACTTAACCCCAATTGCCTTGCCAAAAAAAAAAAAAAAGAATGTATCATACTGAATTAATTTAGAGAACATATGTGTCCAAAGCATTTGTTTTTTTGAATTCATAGCTATTATTCTTTTCTGATTCAAGGGATTATACACCTTGAAGCTGCTCCTTCCCTAGGATAACTACCTTTACCTTTATGCATCTATCTGTGCCTTTCTTTGATTTTGCTTTTGTACCTTCTCTGTACTGGGTTGAATGTGGAGTGTCCTATTGGTTCCTGATTTCCAAAATTATGATTAACAAAGGGGGAGGGGAACTGTAGAGGAGAAAAAGGAAGAAATACTTTCTAACACTCACGAGTGGTTCCCTCTGAATAATTTACCCCAAAGTGTAATCTTCAACTTTAAAACTGAAATCAGAACACTGGATTGGAACCCTACTGCATGAACTTACTCCTGAACAGACTGCTCTTTTATACATGGGATCAATAGGCATGGCTAATCCTCTCAGTCAATCATATCATTCTTGACCTAATAAAAGAGACTCACTACTCCTAAAAAGGTCGCAGGGTAGAAACCTCTTGTTCACAATTTTTTTTTTTTTAGATTTTAGGCAATTGGGGTTAAGTGACTTGCGCAGGGTCACACAGCTAGTAAGTGACAAGTGTTTGTTCTGAGGCCAGATTTGAACTCAGGTCCTCCTGACTTCAGGGCTGGTCCACTGAGCCACCTAGCTGCCCCTTATTTACATTTTTTAAAACTGTTGATTGATTGATGTTTAATTAATGTGGTGGAAAAACCCCACTTTTATACTCTGTTTAAAGTTTTCTTTCTGGCAGAGAAAAAAAATAATGGAAAATAAATTTCCC